ATTCATAGCTTCCTTTGGTTAAAAATTATTTTCAGTAATAGAATAGATGAGAGATCTGAGAAAGATTAAGTGTTCTAGGGTTAGTAAGAAGTGGACAAAGGATGAAAGCCCAAGTTAATATTCCTTCAGCCAGATCACACAGGGTCATTATTATTTACCTATTTATTATAATATTACATCAGTATTACATGTTTATATTATTAAATCATTATTTATTTTGTGTGTAGAGTAAAAACTTAAGATTTCTTTAAAAAAGCAGTCTCCCACATAATCAAACCAAATAGATAAATAAATACCTTAATAAACACATACACAAATAGACAAAAACATTTTGTGTAATATATAGGGGGTGTGTGTGTGTGTAAAGCAACTGCTTAGATGGCAGCTTCCTTCCCTTGTCCTTACTACTTTTTGGTATATGGATACATTTTGTTTGTTTCCTTTTGGTTGCTCTGTGAAAAATGAAAGTTCTAAATCTAGATGTCTCCAACACTGGTATGTTGAACTCAATTGTGAAAAAGATATAGAGTTACAGCCATGCATCAGGAATGGTACATAATGCAAAAAACATTTTATCTATCTGATACTTGACCTGTGAAAATGCCCATCAGAGTGTTAAGAATACAAGCCAGAGAGGATAAAATGTTGGGAACCCTTAGTAGTTACTATGTGGAAATGTCTAGGGATAAATTAGTGCTGATGGATTAGCAACATCTTACAGAGACACATTCTATTTTAGTTAAGAGGATTAAGAATATTTCTTGGCCTAGTGTTTCTTGGCCCTACAAACTTTGATCCTATTAATATTGAGAGTAACAATTACTTGAAGATTAAAAAAATCCTCTCTCATGAAGCACATGTTTGATTGAAATAGAAGTTAGGCATTAATCACATATTTGTTTTCTAAGAACATAGATTTGTATGATATTTTAAAAAATATATCACAGGACACAGTCCATCTGGTTAACAAATTACAATTTCTCAGGAACAACATTAAACAATACAATATTTCAATTAAAACAATAAATATGAGAAATACAGTGCATACAATGATATAAAGGTTCAAATCTTTATCATTCTTTTATCATTAAAGTAAATTTTAGGACATGATGTATGCAAAAAATGCATTTAGCACTGTATTTGATATATTTGCTGACATTTGCCTTCTCTATAACCTCTGGCATTTGAGTCCAAGTTAATCATACAATATCCCAGTGATACTGTCTCAAAATTAAACTTGACTCTCTCCATCAGTCTTACAAATGCCCCCACCAGGAACAAAGTCTGTATCGCCTGCCAGTTCATAACCCACCTCTTTCTATCTCTGTCCTGCTGGCAGCAAATGCCCTCACCAGCTATTGAACAGATGCACCCAGTGCTGCTCCCCGAAGATGCGCAAAGCCAGGCTTTGATGGACAGCAGAAAGTGGCATGATGAAAACACAAAAGCAGTTTAACTGAGAGCACTGCTTTATTCTGCCTAGCACTTTAAGGTCACTCTAGCTCATTCTGACTGTGGGGATCTTAATTTTTACTCAGCCAATTTACTCGCAGCTGTCATTCTTTCCAATATGAAAAGTTCAGCTCTTCAAGTGTGGGGAATTGGGGTGTGTGGCAGGCAGGGAATGAGAAGAGCTTGTTGCAAACTAAAAACAGCAAAAACAAGTAAAATCTGGCTTGGCTCTCAAGTACAAAAAGTTATTTTCAAAGCCTATAAATTATGACATAGTGAGTAACATGTAATTTAAATATATTTAAACAACAATTATATCACATTTCCAGCCCGGCTAATTGGCCTCACAGATGTTCCCTCGTAGCTGTGTTGCCCTTCCAGGAGGAAATGAATGAGGTGCTTTTTATCATGGAAAACAGAAAAAAAGCAAATGGGAAAATGGAAACAGAAATATAAAAAGCAGCCAGTAACCCTAAAAACAATGAATGCTGAAGGGGCTTTGCTTAGCAATTTTTCCATTTTAATACTGAAAACTAGGAAAAAACATGAAGATGCTTCTATTACTGTGATGGTGTCTGGCAGTATATCAGACGTAGATTTGGCAGGTTGCTGACAGGAAGACTTGTCAATGCAGGGCCAGTGGAGGCATTCTAAGATGGCATGGCCTCCCTTCATCCTGGAACACGCCAGCTGCCAAAGGTCTCGCTATTTTTTTTTTTTTAAAGATTTAAATTTTTTCCTTTTTCTCCCCAAAGCCCCCCGGTACATAGTTGTATATTCTTCGTTGTGGGTCCTTCTAGTTGTGGCATGTGGGATGCTGCCTCAGTGTGGTTTGATGAGCAGTGCCATGTCCGCGCCCAGGATTCGAACCAACGAAACACTGGGCCGCCTGCAGCGGACCGCGCGAACTTAACCACTCGGCCACAGGGCCAGCCCCAAGGTCTCGTTATTTTTAATACAACACTTTACGGTTGAAGGTGGCCTAGACCATATATAAATATAGATAATAAAGTATTTCTTGATGAAGAATGACTTGTCAGTTATTCCTCTGATCATTTATCTCTGAAGTTTTATAAAACGCAAGATGCGCAGCAAAAACACTGCAATGCTATTTCTTCAGCTGAGATTCTAGTTGAACATTACACAGTACAGCATCTCTTTCAAGGTAAGATGTCCAAGGGACACTGGTAATTACTAATATTTTGGAATACTTTGCCTTCTAATATGTAATCACAGAGTTGAAATAAACACACTCCAGCCTCATTTCACTCTTGCCTTTTCTTCTAATAAGCTCAGGTAATGTTTGATAGTACACTGTAAATTCAGAAGGCCAGTGGCCATGTCTCTTCTAGAGTATCATGATATCTCCAGCATCCATTGCACTTCCCATGCTTTCACTGTGAAGATTTAATATTTGTTAAATGTATGCTCAATAATTGGGGGTTAATGATAAGGTAAGACCAAGGTTTGTAATATGATAAAGTTCCACCAGGCAATTGTCACATTTTTATTCCATCCCTCTGTTACATGTCACTGGAATACACAGAAAATCCCTTTGTCAAATTTTATGAACAAATGTATTTGATTTCGTATCCTTCTAAAAGATAGTAAAATATATCTATATTTAAGGTGATGTGGAGAATAGGTAAGCATTTAAAATGCCTCTTTGATGAATAGCTTTGGCATTTTGATGGCTTGATTTTAAAAATCTGATTTGGTGGATGTGACTAGTTAAATTCCATGTATCCTCTGTATTTGTATAATAGTGCAGAGCGTACAAAGCTCGTTTATATACATTATCTTACTTTGTCTTCACTAAGAATGAGGTAGAGAGGCCAAGGATGAAAAATGAGGGTCTGAGATATTTCATGAGTGACCACATCACTTGTAATTGGGAGTGGAGCTCAGAGCTTCTAGCAAATCATAGAGTAATTTGTCTGTTGTATAATACCACCTCCTATGCATTGCATATTAAATATCTCTCTAACTTCCCATGTCTTAATCTTCAATGTGTTGTTAATTAAGGAGGTATTTTCTATGCCATCATGTAAGTGACTCAGTTATGGGGAGAGTTAAAATGTGAATCGACTGTTCAGAACTCAGGGTTCAGAACCTGGCCCTTGGTTAGTCCAGCAGACTGAGTTAATTAAAAGAAGTTGTAATATCTAGTTGTTATTAATTTACATTAAATAGTTAATCTCCATGGGACTGTATTCTTCTTACATTGTTTTATGAATCTCTAAATTGTAAAGACATTGACCTGGAATAATATTTAGCTATGTTCCATAAATGATTCAATATGTTGTAGTCTTTGAGGTTTATTGTAGTCATCTCTATTCACTTAAAGCCAGAATGTAGCAAATGCAAGCTTAATAAAATCAGCTGGTTTTTTTTTTTTTTTGAGGAAGATTAGCCCTGAGTTGACATCTACTGCCAATCCTCTTATTTTTGCTGAGGAAGACTGGTCCTGACCTAACATCTGTGCCCATCTTCCTCTACTTTATATGTGGGACGCCTACCACAGCATGGCTTGCCAAGTGGTGCCACGTCCGCACCCGGGATCCAAACCGGCAAACCCCGGGCCGCTGAAGTGGAACATGCTCAGTCAACCACTGTGTCACCAGGCCAGCCCCCAAAATCAGCTGCTTTTATCTGCACTATTGATTATCTCCAGTGCCTAGAAATGTGTTTAATGAGTGAATAGTTTTATATTAAGAACCAGAGTTGGTATTCATACAACTCCCTCTACTTACCCTAAGGAATATTGTCTTTAATATCTATCATATTTTTATATCCACTTTTATTTAGTCCATAGGCTGGAGTGATAGGCTATGAGAATATAGATGTGTTTTTGGTTTTTTAAAACTGAAATCTGATTGTGACTGATTTTAAATACATGAAAGTGATATATGTAAAACATGTTTCCAGGAAAGGAATTGATTTTCTAAGATTTTCTGTTGTTTATTAACTTTAAAAAAAAAAGCAATACTGAAAAGAAAATGGTCTCCTTTTTATAAAGGAGAAGCTAAAAGGTCGACCCTTTGCTGAAAGGGTAAAAAAATACACTTAACTCGATAGCAAAAATTATTCCAGGCAAACTGAAATCCACTTCTATCTCCTTCTAGATAAGTTTCTTCTTATAAGAGAAAAGTTCATGCTGGATATGTGGTCATTTAACACGTGATGAAGGATCAGTTCCTTATATACAACTGAGGTTAATCATTCACTGCTTTTCCCTTTCTTCCAGGGTTAATCAGAAGAATATTCATTGTCAACTTAATTTTTAATCCATCTAAAAATTTTACTTTTTCTATATAATTTTCCTTTTCAGGGATTGAATTTAAATGTTTAATATCCTCAAAACACACAAATAAACTCGCTTGTGGTCAGAGTGCACAAATTCACCATTTAGCAAACTCCACTGTGGTGCATGTTTTCCCCCTTGGTTCATACAAGTCGTGTGGCTTTTCTTTTTCTTTTCTTTTTTATTTTTTTTCATTCATGTCACCTCTTATTATATCCATCATCCCATTTTTCTTTCCTATTAGAGTGACATTGGACACAGCCCTCCTCCTGCCTACACCCCCATGTCAGGAGTAAGTATTTCACAGTCAACCTTCATCTTTTAGGGTTTTTGGTCTTTGCTTACCATGTTCCCTCTCTCTTGTCTCCTCATAATTTCCTCAGTTTACCTTTGCCAACAGTGAATTAAGAATTTGCTGTAGATTATGTAGCTGCCACGGCAGATATGTTTTGTCTCAGTAGATAATCCAAAATTGAGATATCATTCACCAATAGTAGCTTTCGATTTTCATCTGAAGGATTTTCCTAGGCTCATAAATTGTCCTTCTGGGTGAGGAGGTTACCTTTAATTCTATGATTATAGGTCATGTACTAAAAAGTTAGAATCTCAGCAAAGATTCTCTGGTTAGGTACTGGAGACTCAGTCACAGAAAAAACAGAATAGAAGGCAACAAGGAAATAACACCATTCAAATGGCATCATTGTGCTTCTGTTCTTAATGGCAACTGTCTGCAATTAATGGCATTGCCATTTGTCATGAAAATCCACTGTGAATTTGACATCAAAAATAGCCAATTGTGGGAAAAGAACATGAAATACTCTTTTATTAGATCATGCAGTAGATGGTTAGTAAAATTAAAATATATATTTCCAAATTGTTTTCCCATGATTTACGTTTTAAGAAAAATTGGAATTGTAGCTATTTCTAGTCTGTAACTCACGTTCATTAGACATTAGGGAAAAAAATTCAATAAAAACTGACTTTTCTCTGAAAGATAAACTTCCATATACTTTAGGTTATTAGCAGTCATTTTTCACAACTATTCCTAACAATAACTTCCGTCCAAATGTGTCTCTACTATTGACAGAACCAGTTTGTGTACCGAGACGGAGGTTTTGCCGCAGAACAAGGAGTGCCCGTGCCCTACAGAGCCACCACCAGCACCATCCCAGAAGCTCCCGTTGCTCAGGGGGCTACCCCCGAGATTTTCGATGACTCCTGCTGTAACGGCACCCTGCGCAAGCCAGTGGCACCCCATGTCCAAGAGGATAGCAGCACCCAGAGGTACAGCGCCGACCCCACAGTGTTTGCCACAGAACGGAGCCCACGAGGAGAGCTGGATGAGGAAGGTTACATGACCCCTATGCGAGACAAACCCAAACAAGGTACGAACAGAATGTTCAGAAATGATTGGCATTTGACATTCACTTCCATCAAAATAAGCAAAGTGTAGAAGGGAAATTGCCAGATCACTGGACTGTGTAACGTTCGTGACCCAGAAAAGGCCCAGGCTGCTGCTCTTTGTAGTAGGGTGTCTGAATCGTCAGTATCCACACCATCTAGGGGCTTTTGGGAAATCAGAATCTCAGGCCCCACCCAAACAGGAACCTATATTTTAACATGATCCCCATGTGACTTTTATGCACAGTTAAGCTTGAGAAGCGCTGATCTAAACACGGCTTTACTGGAATATTTCAATGAGATAGCATATCACAAGATTTCAGAACCATTGCTTTGTTGGACTTACTCTGGAGAGCAGAAAGACTGGAATTGTTGGCAAAACTGTCCGAAGCTTTTGATGGCACCAATAAAAGATTTGGTTGATTCATTAAAATGATGTCATTGAAATGACCTCAATTATTATAGGAAATTATGATTTCTTCCATGACACATTTCCAAAATTAAAATTCTGGCCCTCCATATACTTATATGTATACCATTACATCTTGAGAATATTCATGATTTGTGGTTTTACAAAGTTAGTAGTAGAAATGTTAAACACCAAAGTCAAAAAAGATTTCAATTTTGAAAGAGCTTCTTTTCTTTTATGTTAATAGCATCATGGAAAGGAGAAAATGGATGACTTATTAAAAACTGATGATTGTGGATCTGGCCTCTTGGCCAAGTGGTTAAAGTTCCATGCACTCCACTTCAGCAGCCCAGGTTCATGGGTTTGGATCCCAGGCATGGACCTACTCCGCTCATCAGCCATGCTGTGGAGGCATCCCACATACAAAAAATAGAGGAAGACCGGCACAGATGTTAGCTCAGGGCTAATCTTCCTCACTGAAAAGTCTTCAGTGTCAATAGTAAATTATATTTTATAACTGTATGAGGGCCAATTATATTCTTTAATATACAGTTATATTCTCTTTTATAAAATGCAATTGGGGATCTCTAAGTCCATATGATAAACAACCTTTTAAAATATATCCATTTAGATACAAATTTTTACTGTAATGAAGAACTGAATGCTTATAGTAGCCCAGTGGTGACACACATGTAGGTTTGGAGAAGACTTGACAAATGCCCTGAAAGTGGAATACTCTCTGGGAAGATTCTCAGCTCAACCATAAAGTTATTTCTCTATTTGTAATCTCATGGCCATACAAGTTTGCATCAGGATGACAGATAAGTAGAAATGGTAACGTGAACCTTCTAAGAGAAAGGCAAATCAGGCTATGTGCTCTCTGTGGAGCATGCTGGATCTTGTCTCTGGATATTCAGAGACCCAGGTTTCTGTAGAAGGTTGGTCTATGCTAGCCCAGTTCACAGAGAGTAGAGAATTTTAGTACAGAAATTCCCATACTTTCAATTAAGAAGTTTCAGAAATCTTGTAAGAAAAATCAAATTCTGGCACCCTTCAAAGTTTTTTCAGACATTTTTCTTAAAATGACAGTAGCTTTCAGAACCATTCAAACTAAAACTTGTATGAAGTGTAAAGTTCACCCTACTCCTGCAGCGGCAAGAATGAAAGCAGACCAGTAGAACCAGAAGGTTACTCAAAAGGAGTTAGAAGATCTGGATTCTAGTTCAATACTAACTGTATTCTTCCTACACCATCAGTTTTCCTTCTATAAAGCTGGGAAAATACACTCTGTACTTCCTTTTTCACAGGACTGTTATGAGGATGAAAGGATAGTGCCTTGTAAATCATTGACCTGTAGTTCATGTACTATATGATGGTGGGATAGTCGTTACGGTCTTTTTATTTGCATGTGATGCTAAATACTTAATGACATCCAGGAGGCCTATATCCAGGGAAAAAGAACCCTGAGTTGATGGGATTTCTCTCTCTACGTGTCAGGCTAAATATAGGGGATAGAAAGCTTTTTCAGAATGGTGGCATCTCAACAAAAAATTGTGTCCTCTCCCTGCCCTAGCACCAAAATAGGAATAGGTAAGTGTCACTTTTGTGTATGTACTAAAAGAGAGGACAAAAAAGAAGTTCTACTCGGGGCCTGTCTGGTGGCATAGTGGTTAAGTTCGTGTGCTTAACACTGCTAATGCCAGACCTACACACTGCTCATCAAGCCATGCTGTGGCAGCACCCCACATACAAATAAAAGTAAAAAATAGAAGAATACTGGCATAGATGTTAGCTCAGGGACAATCTTCTTCAAGCAAAAGGAGGAATATGGCAACACATGTTAGCTCAGGGCCAATCTTCCTCACCCCCCCCTCCAAAAAAGTCTACTATATATGCGTATATGTGTCTCTATATAGTCTATACTATAAACACTAGTGGAATTAAATTTGAAGAAAGCAGCATGAATTAGCAGCATTTTTAAAAATTCTGGGCCAAATCCTATTTTAGATGAATTTATTAGATTGAATTACACAAAATAGCCACAATATGACTGGTTTCAACCTACAAAATAGTGATTTCATATAATTCAAACTAGTAGTTTGCTATTTGGTGATTATGATTAGCCATTGGAAATACATGTTTTGATTATACTTCATTGTTAAGCATATGTATCATCTAGTGAGTCAATTTAGAGGCATGTTAGATGTCTATCAGATTTGTTTTATTGGTTGAAACTTTTCCTTAGATATTCCTTTTCCTGTGTGTAAAGCTTCCTGGCCATTGTCTATAATCAAATCCTTTTTACCTATACAGACATTCACAGCAAACCAAACAGATTAAAAGCACAATCCCTTCACTTCATCTGTTCATCTTGGCATGGAATTAAGCTATAGATATTTTGATTTTCCAATATGCTCTAAAAAATTCTAATTTCTCCACACTTAAAGGATATTTAACTTTGATAGATTGTCTTATCTTGCAACATAAATTACTGACTTTTAGAAAACAGAAGTATTTAAATGACTGGCCTCATATGTAGGAGAGACAAAAGAAATTAGAAGGAAAATAGAACAGTTTAAAGACAGGAACTCTGATCCTGGTCTTAATGGTGCCTTGTTTTGTCATTAACATTTTTGGCTTACTTATGACAGCAGTAATCCACAAAACAGTTTCAGTAAGAATATATGAAAACAAATCTACGGCTTTATTGTTTGGGAAGAATAAGCTACCATTACGTATAACTTCAGTCTGATTCACCCTTTCCAGAAAATAGGTGCTAACTGACATTTCTGTGCTCCATCAGAGTAGCTGCTAACTAACTGATATTTCTGTGCTCCCTCAGAGTACCTGCACCCTGTGGAAGAGAACCCTTTTGTTTCTCGAAGAAAAAATGGAGACCTTCAAGCTTTGGATAATCCTGAATATCACAGTGCTTCCAACGGTCCGCCCAAGGCAGAGGATGAGTATGTGAATGAGCCACTGTACCTCAACACCTTTGCCAACGCCTTGGGGAATGCCGAGTACCTGAAGAACAACGTACTGTCTGTGCCAGAGAAGGCCAAGAAGGCATTCGACAACCCTGACTACTGGAACCACAGCCTGCCGCCTCGGAGCACCCTTCAGCACCCAGACTACCTGCAGGAGTACAGCACAAAATATTTTTATAAACAAAATGGACGGATCCGGCCTATTGTGGCAGAGAATCCTGAATACCTCTCTGAGTTCTCATTGAAGCCAGGCACTGTGCTGCCTCCTCCACCCTACAGACACCGAAATACTGTGGTGTAAGCTCAGCAGTGGTTTTAACGTGGAGAGACATGCCCACTCCAATTTTTCCTCCCGCCTCTCTTTCTCTTATGGTCTTCCTTCTACACCCAAGGCCAGTAGTTTTGACACTTCCCAATGGAAGCTCTAGAGATGCAATGATAGTTACGTGCTTATCTAACTTGAACATTAGAAGGAAGGACAGAAAGAGAAAGACAGGAGGAACCACACTGTTTCTTCATTTCTCTGCATGGGTTGGTCAGGAGACTGGAACAGCTAGAGAAGGCAAATATAAGACAACGCTGCCTGCTGTCAAACTAGTTCTCAACCTTTTTCTTTCTCTCTTTTTTTTTAATGCAGATGCTTGAAAGACCCATGCTATCCGTTCCTATTTGTAGGAACTGATATCTGCATTTTCAGCATCCCTGGAAATTCTAATAACGTTTCCATTAGAACAAAAGGATAACCTTTTCTATAACATATGATAGTAACTGAGATGGAGAATCCAATTTCTTTCTCCAACAGTTTCTATCCTGACAGGCAAGAATGGTCAATTCAGCTTTCGTAATTTTTTAATCTCCGTCAAAGTTATAACTAGCAATTATGTTAGGAGGCCTTTTTCTGTTTTTTTTTTTCATTTTATTTTGCTTCGATCTGTCTCTTCATATTCCTTTCTCCCCTATGTTTCGCTTTAATTTCTAATTGCAAAGATTTTTACATCAAAGCTTCTTATGTGTTGCTATAACTGACAATTTTTTAAAATATATATTTTAATATGGCAAAACACCCACTATTTTAAATATACAGTCTTTAAAATTGGAAGGGGAGGTCAAGATATTAGTCAAATGTAACATCAAATCTAACTTCCACGTTTCACACTATTGAATATGTACCCCCTTTCCTTTCGATTCTTCAACATTTTCTTCTCCTCCATAAGTGACAGTACTTGATAGGCAGTTGGTAATGTTAAGAGTAGAAGGGAAACTAAGAGACAGCTCTGTGTGGTTCATGAAAACTGCTGACACTTTCAGGGGTGGTCCAATGGGAATCCATTGAACTGGAAGAAACACTGGATTGGGTACGTCTACCTGGCAGATACTCAAAAATGTAGTTTGCACTTAAGCTATAATTTTATTTGTTCTCTCTCCGAACTCCATTTTGGATTTTGAATGAAGCAATATGGAAGTAACCAGCAAAATAACTAATTTAAGTACATTTTTTAAGAAAAGCTAAGACAAAGACAGACTGTGGAAATGCCAGACCACGCAAATGAGGACTTTAGAACAGTATCCAGGGGTTGTGGTGAGGGGGCCAGCACATTATCTACTTGTGATATCACATTTGCTACGCAAGGAAAGTTGTCCAGTTTGTACACTGCATATGAAGGAATGCAAGTAAGGATTGGCTTGAATTCCATGGAATTTCCCGTGTGAGACTCTATTTATATTAAGTGGAAAGTTACTCTTTGCACATAAATTGGTATAATAAAAAGAAATACATAAACACTCACAGTGTATAGATAGGTCCTTGGGTCAAAAGTTGTAAATAAACGTGAAAAATCTTCTCATGTAATTATTTTAATATCCAACATACTAATCTTTTGATACTTTATATAATAACTTTTTCTTCAAACATAACATCCTAGTTCTAGAATCATCTTTATTACATGTGATTTTAAAAGAATACCTACTAAGTTAAGATGAGCCAATGTGAACAAATGGTAGGAGTCTCCAGGAAAAGGGGGCCTCGGGTCAGTAATTAGGAAAATTGGATATGTCTCTTTTCTAGGAAAGGCTGCCCCAAGTCATCTGGATTTTTTAAAAATATTTCTTTCTAATGTTAAAGTATTGGGATCAAATTCAAGTCTATCGCCTAAAAGAAAGCAATTAGACTAAAAACCTCCATTGGCAAAGCAGAGAGTTTAGAGGGAAAAAAAAGGCAAAGAAATCTAGGTTTCTGCCTATTTTGAAAAAGTAAATCAGTTCATCCGTTCAGCTCCCTTATTTCTCCAAAAGGTATTTATTTGAAGTCTACTGAAAGCACTGGGTTATGTGCGAACACCCAGATAAATGCAATGTTATCCCTGACTTAACATTTTACCGTCTAGATTTATTTGGAATGACATTCAAATTTCTCCATAAGTACAAGGAATAAGATTGTGTGGACTATTTTATGAGCAGTCCTCATAAAATCAGCCGTTTGTTAAAAGATCTCCTGTGAATGCATTTGGGACATGAATTAAACATCTTACAAGTTACTGAAGTTGACAAATAAGATAGTTTCAATGTTATCATCCAAACACAAACTGGTCTGGACGGAGCTTACATCACTGGCTAATTGCCTATCTGTATTCCAACTTGACCATTAAATCAACAGCAGATGTTGGTCTTTGGCTAAGAATCTTGGAGGCGATTGTTTTCTTACTAAATTACGAGAAGTGAGGTAAGCTAAAAGAGTGAGGTAGAGCGAGGGAGGGGTCTGCAAGATCACTTCCAGTGAAGTTCAACCACAAACTCTAGGACTGAAGGCACAGAATGATGCGGGGGCCACAGTCTAACAGCTCAGAGCTCTCTCACCCATTCAGAGGAGTCTCGAGGAAAAGGTGACCTTACATCAGTACTTCTGAAAATTTGGATATAAGCCTTCTTTCTAGATCAATCTATACCAACTTATCACTGACAGCACCTTCGTTGGATACTGGAACTTGACTTTGTCTTCTGATTTACAAAATTTATATGGTTTCTACTGGGATAGGGAAAGTGGAATCACTTATTTTGGAGAAGGAAAAGAAGTAAATTTTTTAGTGTTACGGTAGAAGAAATGTATTCAGTGAATGTAGCCTCGTTCATCTGACAACACAAGACCCTTACACATCAAGTAATGTCCCATTAATAACCGAAGATAAGTGCAAGTATAATCCAAGTGGCCCAAAACACTCCACAAGAACTCCACTTTAGTGTATTTTTTTTATGATTTCTATAGTACATACTTGATTTCAGTTGTTTTAGGGTTTCTCTTTTGTTTTATTTTTATCCTCCTATTTCAGAGTGAATGAGAGGAAGAAAAAAGAGTTTCATTTGTTCCAAAGAATAACTTATTCAAGTCAGTAGAGCGAAATCAAAATGCCATTTAAAGCCTGCAAAATGCATGGAAATCTCAGATTCCAGAGACCAGTACTATCAATGCAAATATGCAGAACCAATGAAATCATTTTGAGGAGAATTAATAGGAAAACTACACAGACTATTTTTTTTCTGCTTTATCTCCCCAAACACCCCCTGCACACAGTTGTATATCTTAGTTGCACATCCTTCTTGTTGTGGGATGTGGGACGCCACCTCAATGTGGCCTGACGACCGGTGCCATGTCCACACCCAGGATCCGAACCTTGGGCTGCCGCAGCGGAGCGCGCAAACTTACCCACTTGGCCACGGAGTCGGCCCCCAGACTATTTTTTTAAATCACCAAATTTTAGCTTGGGGAATCCTATTTTCAGGTAAGGAGAGACTGTACAACTACATGATTATTTAAAGAAGTAGTTCTTAGACAGTGAGAAAAGATGTCCTGTAAACCAGGGTAGACCCAGAAGCACAAAGCATCCTGCATCACAAAGAGATACTTGGACTGCTGAGCAGCAACTGATTTTCCAAGTTTTAATGGCAAAGGTTAAGACGAGAGTTCTCTCTTGAGTAATATTCTTGAAATAGCATTAAAAAATGCAAAACTCATATTATATTACAAAAACAAACTAGAGATGAGATTCTTTCTTATCAAATTAGGAAGAATGACTGAATATCTGTAGCTTGAGAGAAGACATAGTGTTTAAGTGTTTTGATGTGTGTGTTAATACCTTCTAAAGGCAGGACATGGCATGAAGATCCTGGATATTCTCAATGCTGAGGACAAATCAGCAGAAGGACCGTGAGATTCTGCTGCTAGAGGACGTTGGAGGGGCTGTCAACATGCTTCTTGAAGTGTCAAAAGTGAAAAGAAAACGAAAATTGTTTAAGCCCAACAAGGAAGGATGTAAATACGAGTTTTTCTAGAGCTATCTAACCTTTATTTCAAAACTTGAATTATTCATCCGTCTATAAATGTTGATTATTTAACTAGTAGACGTAGTTCATAAGGTAATAGGAAAGGTGATCATGAAAGCATGTCTATAACTGGGCAGCACTATGATAACACTGTAAGATGTAGATTTAGTTAGTTTATCAGACATTAAATGAGTTTAATATTGTTAAATCAAACTAGAAAATTAACCACAAAATACAACATAACAAAATAAAATGCAGGATATGAAAATGTAGGATGGATTTTGCATAGTAAAAAATAAGTTTACCATTTAAAATTGTTATTAGGTTTAGCTGAAAGTAGATACATAAAGAACTGGTTCCATTTGTGAAAACTTGCTTTAAAGCATTACGATTAAATCTTCTCTCATTGTCTTATTCTTTCACTATTTTTTAGAAGTATTCAGTGTAAAGAGAAATTTTTAAATTTCTAATTGCAAACGCCACCTTGTAGAGTTTTAACAGGAAAATATGTTACATATGACTTTAAGTAAGAGGTCTTCAAAATGAAGTAAGGGAAACGTAAATGTTCCATTACCTTATGCAGAGACAAAGAGTAAGTGGCGCCATTTAGTAAACAAACAAAATACACTTAATTTGTAACACATATCTCTTTTTCCATGATACCCTGCTGTTTCCAAAAAAATCCAAGGGATTAGTTAACATTATTCTGATAAATAAACGCTAAACCAAGCATTTCAAACTGCTGTATTTCCATTATTTTGGACTCTAGCTACTAGAGCAATGATTTTAAATAGGGTGAATGAGGAATCTAGGTTTATAAGCTTCTAGTTGTTAAAAAGCCAGAGAAACTCAATCTACTGGATGTGCTACAGGCAGAGAATTCTGCTGGGCCTCTCCTGGTGTGTATGCACTTTGAAGGGCAGCTGTGTACCCACGTAGACATATACAGGGAGATTCCCATCTCTTGATTGTATTTGCTTAAGAATGTGTAACATTATACAGATTAGATTGGGTGTAACTTTAAAATAACGGTACCAGTGAGGACCTTGATTATAGTGATTTTACAATGGGGCCAGCCTTTATACTTCTGGGCAGAGTAACACAATTTTCCTAATCCAGAGGTGTCTTTTCAAGAAGAGTCCTCTCCACAGCTGCAAACGGAGCTGTCGTGGGCACTGCGTTGGGTCAGGAACCCTTGTGTTTGTATTGACAAATGACCTTTCACACCATGCGCTGCTTTGTTCTTTTCATTAAAAGAAACGTCTCCATAAAAATAGCAGAAATTTACGACACTAAGTCCCACTGATTTTGTAGAGGTGTGAGTGTAAGTTGTGCCATTTTTGCTGACCCCTGCCTCACCTCTTCCCAGCCAGGTGATATTTTGACCAGAAGAAAATGCTTCTCTAGGCACAAGCTGAAAAGACCCTAAGCCCCAATCTCATAGGGGGATTCACACACTTTCCCTGGAAAATACTCTGACAGTCAGCTTTGCAAGTAAGTGACTATCTCACTGGGAATCGCAGAAAAATTTATTTCTGTTTGGACCTTAGAAGAAAATACCAGGCTTACTTCTTTTCCCATCGGCACAACCGCTTCCATTTTATTCGCTTTTCTACCATCCTAGTTCAAAGCGGCCCTCTTCACGCTGTCCCTGCCTTAAGCCATAGTGGATCTTGGAGGCCCCACACCTGCTTTGTGGAATACTACCCCAGCCTCTGCCCTCAAAAGCCTGACTTGTCTATATAAGAGTCTAACAGTTTGGGCATTGTTTAAATTATTTCTCAAAGAAATACCGCACACAGTATGCTTGGTGATACCGGTCTTCTCTGCTCTCCGAAAGTAGAGCGCTCTTAGAAACCCAGAGAACCAAGAGGGCGGAAAGCAAACAGTTACCATTAATTTATATGGCAAGAATTTTTTAGCGTTCCCAGACCCCCAAAATACCCCACCAAAATAAAAGGAGATAAAGCACAGATGCTCACGGACACAGTGCACAGCCACGGGGCCGCAAGCGCCGGCGCCGAGGACGGCTCCGGGCAGGCTGGGCAGCGGGCTCCCCGTGGGCGCAGCGCCGTGCGAAACGCCATGGCAGGCTGTTCGCGCTTCTCGCCTCTTCCAATTTCTTTGTTAGTGGAAACAAGTACTAAGGAAGGCCTTTCTTAAAAGCGAAGTGGCGTAAAACGAACTTTCAGGTAGCAGGGGAAACCCGTATTAAATTTTTTTGTGAAGATCGATGTCCTTCTCTGTCGGAATTTAGAAGTCAGCCCTGTGATGAATCTTGAAACGCACATATGTGCACACACCCTTAGCGGGTCTCAGATTTAATCTTTCCATAAAAACCTTACATATAATGAGAAGTTAGTTTAGCCAGCAAATTCACTTATTTGCTCTATCTTATTTTATTCCTGGTCGCAAATATATCGCAGCTGCAGTAATTTTTTTTTTTTCTTCTCACAAATGAAGAATTTTATCATCAAGGTAAAGGCTCTTCAGCTCTGAGGACCACCTGCAGTTCTCCCCTTGGTCGGTTATCCATCTGACAAACATAACGAGTGCAGGTTCACTGTAATGAGAATCCACGTTGTCAATAGGTTGCCATTCTCTCTCTTTAAGGATCTTTTTTCAATGCTGTAATGAGTTTTAACTGTATAACAAGATGTGATTTTATTTGTCCAAATATACAAATAGAAGAAAACGAAGTTTCATCCCTACACGCAGTAGTCTGATGTGTCCAAACCACTTTGCCTTTATTGCTCTTTTGATCCCTGTTATATAGATGTTTCCCCCAGACCTGTAGCCCTTTGGAAGGAAAGCAAATCATACGTCCTATGTATTGACATAACCTGGTTTTTGAGTATCATTTCCAGATTTTTTGGTTAATGGAAGGTTGTACCTTTTCCCTAATGTGAGAGTCATTTTCCTGCATATTTCTGGATGTCTCAGGGGCTGGGAGGGGGAGTGACAGGACTACACCATAGCGCTCCAAGAACTCTTTTGGGATTACTCCAGTAATCAACTATGAAAGTTATTTTCTAAATGTAGATATGTCAGCTGTTCTTTTAAAGTAAGGTACTTTGAAATATGTAGCATAAATTGGTACTGCTGTTAATGGGTCGATTATTAAACTGAGCAGCTGTGCGAGGGCAGCTAACTTTGAATGCACACCTCACTGACTGGTTTGTCTCCATCTCATGTTGTGAGCACCAGGGACTTGCATCGCTACATGTCGAAACTGCATTTTCGCATGGTGTGACTAATGGTTCATCTCTTTCTTGAGCACCATTATAACAAGATCAAATGAAAATGAGATCAATCTGCAAGACAATTCATAGCACAATAAAATAAGTCGTGTTAAATCTTCTCTCAAACACTATCTCATACACGTGTCAAAGGAGTTGACTAAGATCAGTACAGGTGATAAAGGGAGACACTTGACCAAAAAGGTAGAGGCTTAAGGTATTATATGCATTTGTATTCATTCCCTTATGTTCTTAACTTGTAAACAGAAAATGAGCCCTTTCTCTTATGAAGTATCTTCAAAGGACAGGGGTGCAAAAGTACCTAGCTGGTAAGCCATCTATGTTTCATTTAAATCCCAGTGTTCAAAGTTAGCTGCCTTTTTGAAATAAACAAAAAAATACTACTGTATGTTTGAAAATGTGAATAGTATTTTTATAGCTTGTTAAAGACATGGCTAGTTGCATTTGTAAATAAGGATAATGTTGTTTTCATTTTCTTTTCGTGGACATCTTTATTTGGAACATAATTGTCTTTAGGGTTGATTTGTATATAAGTAATTGGCTTGTGATTGTTTCTTTTTGGTTGAAAGTTATTTT